AAGTGTATTATACCTACATATTCAAGACTGATGAAAGTCATTCAAATTTGTATAATGTACTTACATTATCAGAGAGTGAAATATTTTTTACAGGATCAGTTCAAAGACTTCATTTGATAGGGCTTATGGATGCACATTTTGGTAAGAATTTTATAAGAATGCATATAGAGATACATGGATAAACAGACTTTTTTTGTCTGATGATATATTTCAGTCAATCCAAATCTGTCTGATCTTGTATTTACATGTCATAACAGTGACAGTCCTACTGCTTACTCAATGCTAGGAACACATGTTTTAACAGGTGGATGATTTAGGTAGACTCCAGTTGATGCAGTACTCAGTCTACTTAGGTTGGAGTTCATTATAAGAGACCATTTCTTAGGGACTGTATTGGCAATAATTCTTAGATACTCTATAGTAATTTTAGAGTATCATTCTTAAGTATTTAAGGTCTTATTTCTGTTTAAAAAAATTTTTTTTAACATTTATATATATATATTTTTTTTTTTTAATTTTTTTTCAACGTTTATTTATTTTTGGGACAGAGAGAGACAGAGCATGAACAGGGGAGGGGCAGAGAGAGAGAGGGAGACACAGAATCGGAAACAGGCTCCAGGCTCTGAGCCATCAGCCCAGAGCCCGACGCGGGGCTCGAACTCACGGACCGCGAGATCGTGACCTGGCTGAAGTAGGACGCTTAACCGACTGCGCCACCCAGGCGCCCCAACATTTATATATTTTTAAGAGACAGACAGACAGAGCATGAGCCAGGGAAGGGCAGAGAGAAAGAGAGAGGAACACAGAATCTGAAGCAGGCTCCAGGATCTGAGGCACAGAGCCTGACACAGGGCTGAGCCAAAGTTGGATGCTTAAGCGACTGAGCCAAGCACCCCAAGATCTTATTTCTTAAAACACATAGTTCCCATTTTGTTTTTGAACAGCGTTATTAACAGGATGGTAAAACATACATGGAACTTTGGTTAAAAGTTTATGCATTATTGAGACTCTTACCTGTTTTTTTCTCATCACCTATAAGCTCAGTTTAATAGACCACAGTTGTCTGGTAATAATCTGAAGTGCCGTTTAATCAAATCGAGTCTTAGGAAGCAGGAGAAGAGCTTGGTACCTAAACGTGGCTTTGACATTGATGATAATAGTTCCTTGTGTACTAATCTCTTGTTTTAGCTATTATTTCATTTGTAAACCTAGAGAATAAAATCAGCATGAGAAAACGTGTTCCATAAAACTAAACTCTCTAAATTACATTTTAAAGTCATGTGGTCCATTGTAATGAATAGTTTCCTAGATGCTTTTTAATTCCTAAAGATATGCTCACACATGGATTATTTACTTTTCAGTAGTTTCTTTCAGCTTCATGTGAAAAAACGACTTAGTATTCATAAACAAATTTGAGTGCATGATTTATAAATTTTAGCTTGTTATGAAGACAGCCATTTTTAATCTGAGGTTTGTAGCTTTATTTATAGAAGTAGTTATTTCTGAGTCCACTCTAATGTACCAAAATTATTTTTATTTTAAATTACTCATTGTTTCTGTTCTCTCCCATTTTTGCCCTGTAGCATTGGTTGACATTTCATAGAGACTAAGCTGGCATAGGGCTGGAAAATATGTAATTATAAGAATCACCTGCTCTTGAATTTCCCATTATATAATAGTCATGACTCAGGCAGACTTTTCATAGGTGTTTGATTTGGAATGAGAAGTTTTCTTCCTCCATGACCTGTGATTAAAATGTGGCATTTTTGATAAATAAATAGAAGATAATTTCTGCATAATCCAGCCATGAATCAGAGCTGGTGAAGCAATGTAAATCTTTGACCTGTATCATATAAGCAGTAACATATGTAATTGGAAATATATTTTAAGATCAAGTAAAATAGACCCCCTTTTTTTAATGCTCTGTAGCTTAAAGCAAGCTAAGTGCTAAAATGCAGTAAGATGCATATTGAGAGTTTGACTTTACTTAATGCTTCTCAAAGGAATTCCAATAAGAGGAAATCCACTAAAACTACATTTGAATATTTTATTTTGTTTTAATGAGTTATAACCATAAAGGTAAATATTTATCAGTTGTTGTAGCATGCTGGTAAGGACCGGGAATAGACTATTTCATTTCGTAGTTGAAAATGAAATTTACTGATACAACAGTAAACCAGTGTTTGCTTTATAGTCTTATCTATTGCATTAAACTTTATACATCTTTATGGTTAAAGTTGTAATTTTTAATTAATTGACTGTAGAATCATGCACCCAGTTCCTGATAATAGGTTTGTGTTCTTTTCTTGATACTGCAGTAACTGACACATTTTCCCAGTGTAGTTTAGTTTGTATTTATCTATTTTTAAAGATATTATGTATGTCTATGTACATTGTTTTTCTGCACTATGAATAGAAATTTATTATTCCAAAGTCATGGATGCAAGATGGCACTTGCTACAACACTTTACTTGTCTTTTGGTAGATCAATACACTTTAGCTTCTGTCTTAGTCAATTCTGACTGCTATAAAAAAAAATACCATAGACTGAGTAGTTTAAATAGTACAAGTTTATTTCTCACAGTTGCTGGAGTCTGGGAAATCCAAAATCATAATGCCCAAAGTGACATTTCATTCCTAGTGAGAGCTTTCCTTCTGGTTTGCAGATAGACATCTGCATACACAGCAGAAACAGAGAGAGAAAATAAATTCTCTCATGTCTCTTTTCATAAAACCAGTAATCCCATCATGAGGGCTCCACTCTTGTGACCTAATTACTTTCTGAAGGCCTCATCTCCAAACACCATCACATTGGAGATTGGGGTTTTAACATATGAATGGGGCAGGGAGGCCACAATCATTCAGTTCATACCAGCTTCCCACAAGGACTTTATAATTTTGGATATTTATCCTATGAATTGAATTGACTTTAGAATGATTGAACTAGAGTCCAATGTCATCTCTTATTGTAAATTTTGACATGTCCTAGTTAATGAAGCTAAAGCCTTAAAAATGTTTCATATGAATTTGTCAATTCTAAAAATATTTTAGATTTGAAAACATCTGGAGGAATCTATTCCTCAAAGTAGGTGATTTTCAGTTGCATGTGTAGTAGGGAGACAGAGGTATTAATTTTGTATTCTATTAATATCTTTATATGTATTTCATTGTTTATGTTCAGTGAACATAATATTCGGTGCTCACGTTTTTGTTTCCTCTCCCCACATTATCTGTTTAATGCCCTCTAATTTGGTTTCATTCATCACCACTTTTCTATATGCTCCACTGTGACCTCTCTTTGAAGTCTCCTCTTAAAACTTTGATATAGTAGACCTCTAGCACTCTCTGGAAATACAGGCTTGACAAATGGCAGACAGTACATTTTCGTTAACATGTGGATGGAGAAAAGAAAAACTTCTCCCTATGATGTGCTAGCCATATTCTACTCACTAGACTATTTCCTTCTTTGATTCTCCTCCTCTTTTCCTATATGCAGCATCCCCTTGTTTCAGTCCTCAATTATTTAATTTTCTCTCTCCACGCTCTTTCATTTAGAGATACCTCAACTATTGCCTCTACGTGAATAACTCCTTTCCTTTTCTCCAGGACAGCTTTCTCATGAGCTTCAATTGTGTATCTTCACTTGTCTTCTGAACATTTCTATTGGATATCCTGCCATCTTTTCAAACATAACTGGTTCAAAACCAAACACATGATGTTCCTCTTCAATGGTATCTTTCTACTGTGTTTTGTTTTGTTTTGTTTTGTTTTTTGTACAGTATTGGCTTTTTTTTTTTTTTTTTTTTTTTTTTTTTTGCGAGAGAGAGAGAAAGAAGCAGGGAGAGGGGGATGAAAAGAGGATCCAAGGCAGGCTTTGCATTGCCAGCAGAGAACCTGATGTGGAGCTCAAAACCATGAACTGTGAGATCATGACTAGAGCTGAGATCAAGAGTTGAATGCTTAAGCGACTGAGCTACCTAGGTGCCCCACAGTATTGCCTTTTCATTAGCCATTTTTTATTTTTATCTTCTTCCAGCCACTAAACATACTAAATATTTGTTGCATCTATTAGAAAATATTGGAGTTGTTCTTCCTTTCCTTTACCAATGTTAGTAAACTCCTTATTAGTGTCCTTAAAACAAAGCAAGTCGGCCATCCTATAAAGTACTGCTGAAGTTTATTTCTTAAACTACTTCTTTCTTTATGAATCTCCTTTAGTCTAAAACCTTCAAGAGCTATCCACTACCTGTGGAAGTAGTTTCCAAATGCTTATTTAAAAATATATATATCAGACAATTTTAGTTAATTTTTTTTTAACCTGCGACCCAAACAAAGAAAAGTAAATCTAGAGATGTTTTGAATGAAAATAATTCAGCCTCCTTCTACTTGGACTTCACCTATACAGTGTTCCCTAGGCACTTCTCTGGAATTCTGGGACACTTTGTAATACAGTCTGAAACCTATTGACTCTAGTACAAAATTCTCATTTAGGATTAGGCCCTATTCCATTCAACCAGTCTGTTTATTATATCTAATTGTTTCATGTGAATTCCGTCTTTGTATCTTGGCTTCCATCATGTTTAGTGCCCAGAATGCTGTTAAACTACCTTTTTGCTTCTTTGAGTCTTATTCATATTTCCAAATGCACTTCAAGCCCTACATCTTCACTGAGCATATGGATGCATTTTTAGAAAATAAAGAAGTCGGGTCGGGTATTTCTTTTTCATGATGTATATTTATCTTGAGGGTGTACTATTTGCTTTTTTGGGAAAATACTTCTATATTACATTTAATTATTAGATAAGCAAATATCACTTTTTTGTGCTTATTATATTTCAAAGCCCTAAACTGAATGATTTTAAGCATTCAAAAAGAATGAGTCCAAGATTGTTTGATGCTAAAATTACATATTAAGAGCATGAATCTAAGAATAGTAATTATATGACCCAAATCAATAATTTTAAAATATTTTATTATTTTCTGTACTTGTTTTCTTTTAGGACCTGCAGCATACAATCCTGTTTTAAGGAAATCTTGCTCCATACCCTTATTTGTTAAGGCATCAAAGCGTTTTAAAGATTCCAAAGAGATTACTCCTGGTCCAGCTACATATGAGGTTTGTCAATGATAATTTTCTTTTATCAGTAACAAAAGAATAGAATAATTTCCAGAAAGTACTGAAAATGTCTACATTAAAGTCCTTTACATATGTTTTATTCATATTACTAGCTATTAAAATCGAAGGAGGCATTTTTTAAAATACAGTCTGACAGTTTTTAAAGACTGAATTAAGAATTATTTGTCAATTTATCTATAAATGTCCACTAAGCACTGTTATATATATAATTTTTTACATTCCTGAAACTTAAAGACTTAGTTGTTTACATACACAAATGGAAATTTCCAAATATTTATTGCAATCATGGATTTATTAGAAGGCTCAGAAGATAGCCCTGTTGCTCCAGTAAAATCAGGTTTGGATCTTTTATCTTTTTTTAATAAGTATAGATGCTGTAGTCTAGATTCATAATAAATAAAGGACTCTTAAGCTGTGGGCCTTCTGATTACAAGAAGAATGCTTAAGTAAACCTTCAAGTTTTAAAAATTGTGTTCACGATTGGCCTTAATTCCCAATCTAGGATGAATAGGTCCCCCATTTGTACTCCAGTCACTATTAAAAGTGAAATATTTTATAGTGGCTTATAGCAAGTAATTTAAGAGTTAATACTCGGGCCAAACCATAGTGAATGTTGTTTTTTGGGTTAGTTAATGACAAGTTCACTTTTATTGAATGTATGCTTTCTACTTATTTAAAATGTCATGATCTAAATAATTTTTAGGCATTCTGTCAAAGCAGATTCATAATGCAACATCAGGGAAAAAAAGAAAAAGAAAAGAAAATGAATAATGAAAGAGTTGTTATTTTATTTGTTGGCTGTTGATTCCCCCAGAAGACCACTGCTAATTCCTACTGATTAAGCAATGCTAAATCTATTTACTTTGGAAAGGGAGAATCTGCTAAGCAGTCTTAATAGTGTTTCAGGAGATGCAAATCAAAGGACTTCTGATGTTTTAGGACCTGAGCTCTGTGACGTAAGACAGGTCTTACAAACGGGAAACTGGCTGGGATTGGGCAAAGTTTATGACTTGTTTACTTTGGGTTATTAGGCACAGTGAGGAAGGGTCTTAAAGTAAGTGTTGATCAGTAAGCTATCAGTCTTGATAAGTTAGATGGTATAGCTGTTCATAGTTTGATATATTATCATATTAAATCTTTAGCTGAATCCTTTTCCCCTACTTTTTAAAACTGATTTTAGGGGCGCCTGGGTGGCGCAGTCGGTTAAGCGTCCGACTTCAGCCAGGTCACGATCTCGCGGTCTTTGAGTTGGAGCCCCGCGTCGGGCTCTGGGCTGATGGCTCGGAGCCTGGAGCCTGTTTCCGATTCTGTGTCTCCCTCTCTCTCTGCCCCTCCCCCGTTCATGCTCTGTCTCTCTCTGTCCCAAAAATAAATAAAAAACGTTGAAAAAAAAAAAACTGATTTTAGTGGTATTTACAAATAATAATGTCAGTAAATGTAATGATACCCTTTTATTTTGTGATGCATTTATCATAGAAAATGTATCTACTAATCTTTCTAGTATTTAAAAATCTTTCTTTTTGTTTCATTAAGATTTTATAAATTATATTTATACTTCTTCATAGTATTTTCTATGCCAAATGAAAACATTTATGGGTTTGATAATGATGTTTTTTCAGGTATTGTTTGAATATATATATATGTATATATATATATATATATATATATATATATATATATATATATATACACACACACACACACAAACTGCACTTCAGGGTAACTTTTCTGTTGAGAACTGAGTGTATAATATTTTTTTTGTCTTCCTATTGTTTTCTTTAATAGTTGAAAAGCTTTTTGAAAAAGTAATTTTCTTTCAACGTTTTCCTTCTTTAAAGGAAAAGTTATTTTTAATCTGATAGACCAGTAAATTATAGGTCCATTTATTATTATTTGCTCTTAGTTTTTAATTTGGTACTTCTTTCTTTCTCTATTGACTGTAATAAGTTTCAGTTGGTAACTCTTGAGAACATGTTTGCCTAAATATTTTACTTTTATTTTTTACAGAAAAAGATTATTTTAGAAATTTATAACATTGTTTTAAGATTCCAATATTATGTTACATTTAAAAAACACTTAAATGTGTATGATTTGTGCCATCATTAGTTATAGGTTTTCAGTGTCACATGTTCATGGATCTAACCTATCCAATATAGGTCGTACTAACAATAATATCTATTACAATAGCTCTCTTAAGTTACACAGCCATATTTGCAAAGTCTGCTCACTATTTTTATTCTTGTGTAAACAGTCTCCTGAGTGTCCCAGGCACAATTAGTGTTCTCTGTCTATTTTATTTACTTATTTTTTGGATGGGGGTGTGGTCAGAATTGTCATTGGAACATTACTCACTATATTTCAATTATAAACTAATCTGTGTCATTTTTACTCCTTCTAGTTGTCGATATTTATTGGTTCACTGTCACTGATCCTTTTAAAGATATAATGAAAGCTAGGGACCCTAAAGGGGAAAATTGTGCACGTATGTTCATGTAAAAAAAACATGTATACAATTTTAAATGGTTTGTTAATCCACAAAAACTCACTTATGGCTTCAATCAAGAGCTCCCAGTAGCAGATTCTGAACTCTATAAGGATGAGACTTATTTACTTTTATATTATTAGGGCTTCAACAACAGAATCTGGCATATAGGAGCATATTAATAAATGCTTATTGTATAAATCAACAAAATGGATAATTATAAGATTTTCTTCCCATGATTAGATCACTAATCTTTATCCATGAATAAAGACATACTTATTAACTTAGTTTAGTGAGAAGAATATGTATATGCCCTTTCAAAATAGCAGGTTTTATTGACTGATTAATGTTCTCTTGTTGAATAAGTCTTCTCAGTAAACACGAACATTTTTAAGGTTTACATGAAGCAACACATTATTTTCTGGAATTTAAAATTGAGACTTATATGAGAATATTTTAAAATAGGATAGAAGAAACTACAATAAATTTAACTTTTTAAAAATCCTTCATTTAAATATTACAGAAAATTTTAAATATACCTCTCTTTAAAAAAGCAAATTCTACTGAAATTAATTGAAATTTAATAATACAAGTATTTTTAATATGATTTTCTGCTTTGTTCATATATAATTGACATATGTATGTATTATAAATGATTGCCACAATGAGGTGGCAATAAATGATGCCATTACCTCACGTAGTTACCATTTTTGTGTGTGTGATGATTATGGTTAAGATTTAGTCTCTTAGCAGCCTTCAAGTAATCATACTGTATTGTTAACTATAGTCACCATGCAGTATATAAGCTCTCCAGAATTTTTTCATTTTTTAATAAAAGGTTTATACCTTTTACCCAATTTCTTTCTATGTCTTCTATTCCCCTCTCCCCCCCACCAAGCCCCTGGCAACCATCATTTTAGTCTATCTCAATCAGTTCAGCTGTTTATGATTCCACATGTAAGTGAGAACATACAGTATTTATCTTTCTCTGTCTGACTTATTACACTTAACATAATGCTTTCAAGGTCTATCCATGTTTTCAGAAATGGCAGGAATTCCTTCTTTTTTTTTTTTAATGGTGGAATATTATTTCATTGTTATGCACGCAAACCACAACTTTATCTGTTCTTCCTTTGATAGATACTTGGGTTGTCCTATGTCCTGACTACGGTGAATGATGCCATAGAGACAGTGGAGTACAGATGTCTCTTCAAAGTAGTAATCCATTTCCTTCAGATCTATACCCAGAAGTGGAATTGCTACATATGGTAGTTCGATTTTTAGTTTTTGAGGAATGTCCATACACTTTTCCATAAGGCTGTACCAAATTATACCCCCACCAACAGTGCACAGTAGTTCCCTTTTATCCACATCTTTACCAACATTTGTTATCTCTTGTCTTTTTGATGTTAGCCATTCTAAGGGATGTGAGGTGATATCTCATTGTGGTTTTGATTTGCATTTCCCTGGTAGGGGGGATTGTTGAGCACCTTTTCTACTTGTTCACCATTTGTATACCTTTTTTGGAAAAATGTGTATTCAAGCCCTCTGCCCATTTTTTGCTCAACTTTTTTTTTCCTGTTGAGTTGTATGAGTTCCTTATATATTTTTTATATTATCCACTTATTAGATAGATGGTTTGCACATATTTTCTCCCATTCCATTAATTGCCTTTTCATTTTTCTATTGTTTCTTCTCCTGTAAAGAAGCTCTTCAGTTTGATATAGTTCCACTAGTTTATTTTGGTTACATGTGGTATCGTATCTAAAAGAACCATTGCAAAGACTAGTGTCAGAGAGCATCTTCCCTATGATTTAGGAGTTTCATGGTTTTAGGTGTTAGATTTAAGTCTTCATTTTTGTGTGTGTGTGAGTAGGGTAAGATATGGCTGCAATTTCATTCTTTTGTATGTACCTATCCAGTTTTCCTAAAATATTTATTAGAAGACAATATCCTTTCCCCATTAAGTGTTGTTGGTGTCCTTATCAAGGATTAGTTGATCATATATGCAAAAGTTCATTTCTGGGCTCGCTTTTCTGTTGCCTTTGTCTATATGTCTGTTTGTATACTATAACCATACTGTTCTGATTACTATAGCTTTGTAATATCTTTTGAAATTAGGAAATGTGATGCCTCTAGCTTTGTTGTTCTTTCTCAGGATTTCTTTGGCTACTTGGGGTCTTCCATGGTTCCATGCAAATTTAAGGACTAATTTTTCTATTTTGTGAAAAATGCCTTTAGGATTTGATAAGGATTACATTGAATCAATAGATCACTTTAGGTATAATAGACATTTAAACATTATTAATTTTTCCAATTCATAAACATGGGATATCTTGCTATTTGTATCTTCTTCAAGTTTTTACATCATTGTCTTATAATTTTCCATGTACAGATCTTTAAACTCCTTGGTTACATTATTCCTAAGTATTTTATTACTTTTTATGCTATTACAAATGGTATTTTTGTGATAGTTTGTTGTTAGTGTATAAAAACA